CCTGATCTGATGCCCTTCAATTGCCCATTGTATCTGGAGGACAACAGGTGAATAAAGACAGCATTACTCTTAGCCTTAGAAACCCTGGCAATCATTCCACTGGTGTCATTGTAAAATGTATTGCCAGGTGAGGGTGTTAGGTATTGTGACATTTACATTTCTCGTCAATAGGCCAATTGTGTATTCTTTGTACTTTTTATTTCTTTAAATATGTAAAAAAAAATGTATGTTGTACATACCATTCTGATGTAAACTTGTAGACTTGTTCACACTTTATTGTCCAACATAGATAAAGCATGAAGATAATTATTTAAGATATACCTGTATTTATACCTCAGATATTCTTTGAAGGAGAGGCAGGGTGTTTGTATCTCAAGTTGGCTGCCCTTTCCTCCAGTGTAAATATGTTCTACACAACTGAAAAAAAGTAAAAGAAGAAAAGGTTTATAGCTTGCTATTATATGCCTGTACAGAACATAATCAATAAATGCACTATTAAGTGTCTGTGTGATGCCTGAATTCTTCTCTATTTCCTGTGGCCTTTTTTCCAAGTCTTTTGCAGATGTAGAGTCTAACCAAGAAAGAAAGAAGGTGGGCATTTGGTCCATGGACCAGATGTATCACAGAGGTTATGAGTCTTGCCATACATGCAGATCTCACTGATGTAGCTTTTTTTTTATCCTGCTGTTGGAGCACAGTCAGTTGTAGATATTCCTAGTGTTACTCAGCTTCCTTTAATCACATCCTCTTTAACTAGCAGAGTCCTTTCTGATCTTTAAAGGAACAAACTTCTCTTGGAGTGTAATTCTATGCTGAGGTCTTAACAGATGAACGAGCTTATAAGAAACAGCTCTTAAGGCCTCAGCTTAAGCAATTTATGGATCTCATTGTGGGTTTCAGTTGCATAAGGCCTCAGTTAAGCAGGCTACCTCTCCATTTAGTGCATCTGAATAATGGTAGGGCTGTTTAGACAAAAATGTTCAAAAGCACAAAGGAAATACTGTTGGCCTGTCAAGGAAATGCAAAGTTTCCTTCGAAACAGAAGACAAAAGAAAGGGGGAAAAACTTCAGGCGATAAATTGGTGAAAGTGTAGTGCTTATACAGCAAAGGAAGGAAGCCAAAAACAGAGCAGCGGGCTTTGTGTGTCATTTTAAACAGGGCAAGCCACAGTATTTAGGAAGGTCAGCTGCAAAACATTAAAAAGAAAGTAATCACTAGAGAGAACACCTTTTTGGGCCATGGAAATAAGATCCATTTGGGAGTTTCTGATCATTTAAAAATTGAATACCCACACTCACATGCTTGCACGCCAGTTTGGGGAAGATTCAAGCAGAGGCACCTTCAGGGGGTCCAGAAAGTCAAGACAGCTGTGACCACATGAGGGAAGCCCTGCCCCTTTTTAATATGATGCACCTGAAAAGAGTTTTGCACCTGAAAAAGGCTTTGATCATGCAGGCACAGCTGCTATCTTGATTTTTTCACACACACACACACACTCTACAATAGCCCCTGGATTTGAGGATAATGTTTCTGCACGTGATGGATGGGCTGGTGCTTCTGTGTCTGAGTTACTGAGCTAAGAGCTCCACAACTGTTCGTGTGTTCAGAAGAACTTTGTTAAAGTTTCTTAAAGCTGCTGAGCTAGATGTAATGAAAAAGGTCGCCAACCTCTTACCATGCTAGCTAGCTAGCTCACTCCGAGGTTGATTAGGAAGAAGGTGAATCCCTGCAACTGAACCAGACAAGATGCTAAATGGGATGCATTAATTCAGTGTTGATATTTCAAGTGTTGGATTGCAAAGCAAGTTAAGCAAAATGCTGTGCCTAGCTCATCTGTAAAGCAACTTTGCATCAACTGGGCAATTGATTTTCCATGCCCAAACAAAATAAAGAACATCATGCCCTGGATTCTGTTGGAAATTTCAGATATTTAAAAGTGATTTATTTCATATGATACATACTTTTTTTAATGGTCTCTTATCTACTATTCACTTATGTCAGGCTGCCATTTATCAGCAAAACACAAAGTTAGATTCATGCTCTATTTAAAAGAAACTCTGAGATCCATAGATTTACTACTGACACTAACATCACTCTCAGTGATTAAAGTAGGTATTAATACCTAAATTTATAGAAAAATTGTGAATTTGCACTGCTTACAAAAATCAGTCAATTTTGATCTGCAGAACTCAAGACAGTATGACCAAAAATGATCATTTTAAACTTTTGGAATCAGATTTCAGGAGAGTATTCAGACATACCTGTCTGCATTCAAGGTGGGTGTATGTCATAGGTTTGTTGTTTTTACTTTTTATGTATGTATATGTTGCATTGTGTTTTGCTTTAAAATGTAATTAATGCAAAAAAGTATTGCTTATGGCAAGAGGTGGCAACTCACCATTGGTTTATATTCTTCCTCATGTTTTCAAAAAGCCAGACAATTTAGCCCTAAATAGTGCCATTTCAAAAACAGGCACTATATACCCCTAAACTTTTTTCTTTACAATCAGAAAAATGCATGCAGTGTATATGATAGTCCTTCAGGTCCAAAGAAGGCCCGCCGTTGTGCAGTTCATCGTGGATAAGGGGGTGGCTCTGCAGTCCCAGTCTGGAAGCTCAGAGTCTAGCATGATGCGGACACTGGAAGTCCATTGTTGTAGTATCTGTGAGTGTTATTCTGTGATGCCACTCATGGATTTCTATCAGTTTTTGGCAGCGCCTGTCTTCAAAGCCGGAGGAGGCTTCATAGCACAGGGCTCACCAGCAGGTTCTGTCAGCAACTGCAGCTTCTAGTTCTCTTGTCTGGATGTCACAGTGGCATAGGGTTTCTTTCACAGCATGGTCGACCTCAAAGTCTCCTCCCAGACTCCAGTACACTATATGATCAACTGTGGACTGCCTATTGAATAGGTTGGAAAAGTGCTCAGTCCTTCTTGGTCTTTGATCAGGCTCAGCCCATTAGATGACAGCAAGGGGGAGCATCCTGTTTTAGAAGGACCATAAACTGACTTTATGGCACTGAAGAACTCTCTGATGGCATGCATGTCTGCACAGCGTTCCACCTGCTCAGCCTTTCTCAGCCTGCATTTCTCACAGTTCCATCTGTACTTTGGACTGCAGGTGCCTAAACTTGTCTTTGAAACAGATGATGTTCTGCCAGTGTGCATAGGCTTTGTTCTTGGCAGTACGAAATAAGGATGTGGCTAGGAATGGAGAATGGGGAAGTATTTTATTTCCATTTTGCGTGGGACAAGGAGCACAGAAACATTACTACAGGACCTGTAGCAGCATGGAAGGAGGCAATCCTTTGGTCCTTGTCCTCTGTTGTTTTGGTAACAGTGAAGAACATTATGATCATCTCCAAACTACTTTGAGGACTTGGGGATTGGAAATGGTAAAGGTGTGAAGATCCACTTGGCTTATCTCTGGTACTATTTAATGATTATGACCGTGATTAGAGTTGAAATCAGTGACTTTCTGCTCACGCTTAAGTTACTCTCTCAAATGTAGCAAGAGAATAGAATGATGGATAGCCCATGTGATTAACCTGTTGATTATAGAAATAATTGAAGTCTTACTTTAGTTCTGTGATCTCTCTCTCTCTTCTACTTCTTTAACACTGAAATGACATATGGACCACCAGGAGGCACCATATCACCAGTTTCATCCTTATCAGGAATCATCAGACATGGGTAGCCAGATGTTGTTCTATGGGTTCAAATCCTTTATTGGGAATTGAATTCACAGACCTTCCGACTTAGATGACTATATACAGTATATTAGCTTAGAAGCTATCCAGGTCCTGGTGCTCAGCAGTTTGCAGGAAGGGATATCTAGAGACACAGTGAATTTGTTTATTCATTTCTAGCCAGCTCCTCCTCATCTTTGCCCTTGGTTTTCATTCAGACTAAATACTAGAAGCCCTCCTCAGGCAGGAGAGAGGGAATCCAAATAAGTGGGTATTCTCTTAAGCTCACAGCATTCACTTATTTTTCAGTGTTGTAAGAAAAAGTTGATATTTAAGATCCTTAAGGAGGAGCAGCCAAGCTGAAGTTGTATTTCAAAGGCCTCTGAGAAAGACTTTGCCAATGGAAATAGATGTAAAAATAACAGGCATCCAAGGGACACTAATTTAAAGCCCTAATACCCACGGGCTGAGGCATCTTGTAAAACCAGCACTCAGTCTGTAAAAGAACAATCTTCCAGTGTGTACATGCATCTCTATCAGTACATGTGTTATGATCCTTATTATGGATCACTATGTTGAGCAGTGACATTACAATGATTTTACTTTTACAAGGGAGATTATATGTGTCAGGTAAGAAATGTTATAGACCAACTTTCAGATTGTCAATAAATGGGAGCCCTGAGTGCTCTTTGCCAGAAGCAACCAATGCTTCTGTTTCCTTGTGGACTTCTCCTGTCGACCAAGAGAGACAGAGTAAAAGGAAGCAACCTGATGCCCTCTGGATGTATTTTTATTATTAAACCTGTGAGCCCGTTCCATGCTGGCCAGTTGCCAAGCTTATAAGCATTGTACTCCAAGGTGGCTAGATGTATCAGGTCACATCACCTGTCCTCAGTCTAGGATGATAGGAATTTCACAAGCCAATGATCCACAGAAGAAACACCCATCCATTTGTTCTGACTTCTTGACCAGGATAACCACTCGTAACACTCTCCTGCAAAGTATGAATATTTTCTGAAGAAAATTCACTGAAAGATTGACTCTCTAGTCAGGCATATTTTTGTGCTCTGTAAGAAGTCTTCTAGTTAGGATGGTACACAATCCAACAGGTCTTCCTCAATAGACACAGTACCCTCTAGTGGAAAGGAAGCTGTTTAATGTTTCTGAAGGGTTTCGTACCTC